ATGATTACAACCCCCCACCAAAATACTTAAAGGCAGCATAAATGCTCATGAAGAACAGAATGTGACAGGGGTGACTGCCACTTATAGGAGTTCTTCCTGCCCTGCCCACTGCAGCGGCTCCCCATGCTATGTGGGGATGGTAGGCATGAGCTGCAGGTGAAGGACAGATTTTTTTTTTATCAAAGCCTCCTGGGGGTCCATGCTGTGGTGCAGCCAGCAAAGAGGATGCTCACTGCAGGGGGGGCATGGAGACTGTTGGTCTGGTGCTGGGGAACATATCCTTCTAGAAGCCCAGGTCACCGTGAGAACCCAGATAATGAAATCTCTGCCCTGCAGAGGGATGGGGAGGCTGAGTGGACGCAGTAGCCGTCCAAGAACCAGGGCTCTCAGTGTCTGCTTATACAGCTGCCATGAGGGTTAGAGACTGAGCCAATTCCCTCCAGATACAGAGGCCACAGTGTCCTTCCTCCCCGCCCCCACACCCAATGAGCCCCCTCTGGGTAGATCTGCATTCAGACAGGACAGATAGGAGGGAGTGTCCCCATTCCTTAAAAGGTGATCGGGCTGCGGGAGTGCAGGAATGGCTTACAAGTTCTGATCACAGACAAAACCTGTCTGGTGTCCCCAGGGTTAAGAGTCAGCTGGAATGGAGGACAGCTTAGAATGCACATTCTCCTCTTGCAGATGGGAACCAGAGGCCAGAGGGAAATGGACCAACTCTACCTTTTCTCCTTTCTGCTGGCTAGGTGCTGGGATTGCATTCTCCTTCCCTTGGCCCCACAAGGCAGCTGAAGGCAGCCTGGCCCCCGCTTCAGACACTGAAGCCCAGCTCACCTGGGATCTGCTCAGTCCCAGCGCCTCCCCCCACAGCCTTTTAGGGATATTTTCTATGTCCTCTGGGCTTGAAAGGTCTGCTAAAGCCATATTCCCGTTACAACGCATGGGGCCCAGAGCTGCTACAGGGGACTTCACCCTGTCTGGTTCTTGGTCAGGGCCTCAGCCAAGGCAAGGACTGGTTTTCCAGCCATTCTCCTTTCAGGACCAGATTCCCACAGAGCCAGGCAAGGTTTCCCAACACACAGCTCTCGCTCACTCCCTTGCCTTCCTCTAAATCTGGCTATCCCTTCTGAAACTGGGTACCCATCTGCGCATCCATTTTAGATGATGTAGGGGTCCCCACCTCTCAGGAATTTAGCTACATCACCGTGTTCTGGTCCATTCAGTGTGTGCACACAGGTTACATGACATCTTTTGTATTTTGATATTTTATATCGGGCATCTGAAAACGGGATGCAGAGATCCATTTACTAACAGCTCTTTCTGGCTTTCTCTTTCTCAGCCTTCAAAGGCTCACTGCTCCTCCCCTCCCAGCAGGGACCACTTATCCTCCTCCCAAAGAAAGGGTGTTAGATAGAAGAGAAGTTCCTTGTGGGACAGGAAAGTCCCCAGAGAGTTCCAGGGACTAGGCTGGAGGCAGGGTCCACATTGAGTCCCTCACACGTGGGTGCCAGGATCAGGAAGGAGAAATTCAGTTTCTAAAAGGAACCTGGGGGTGGGAGGAACTATGGTGTTGATGGTGGTGTTCGCTTGCTGCTTGTGGAAGGGTGGTAGTGGGAGACTGGGAGCCTGGAAGGCAAGACAGCCCTTGAAGGTTGCCTTCAGTCTTTAGTTCCCAGGTAGCCCTCAGGTGAGCCTAGGAGGAAGGAGGGGAAAAATGACCAAGGCCATAGCCTGGGCTGAGTCCTGGCAAGCTATGTGGAAACGACAACCTGATGGATATTTCACAGTTGAGGGTGTGGCACTTGCAAAAGACAGTCGGCCTGATAGAGCATCCCTCTGTGCTAGGCCTGTGGCAAGCACTTTACACATTATCCCCAATGCAGCTCTTATTGCCTGCACAGATGAAAGGAAGGCTTAGAGATATTTGACACAGGGTCCCTGGACCAGAGTGATGAAGGAAGACAGAGCTAGTAATAAGTCAGAGCATAGCTCAGAATCGGGTACTCAAAAGCCCACTCTCCAGGCTCCCAAGGAATCAGACCCACTCAGTCCCTCCTGGAGACAGGGGCAGCATGGCACTGCCAAGACACCATTAGAACCCTCTCTTAGGCGGGTCCCCATCAGGAGAGGAGCCTGCTGTAGATGACTCAGCAGACACAGGTGAGAGGGGAGCTCTGATCTCTGCTTCCGCTTCCTGGCCTTGTAGGGGATGCAGCGAGGTGCTCTTAGATGGGGGCATTTGAGAGAAAGCAGACTTGACCATCAGTAGGACAGAAGGGGAGACAGGTCATGTATGTGCACAGTGGGAAAGGAGGTATGATGGGTGGTTGGTGGCAGGAGCTCTCCAGGTCTGAAAACTGACAAGGCTGAGATAGTTCTAGGTTTGTCAGTCCAGAGCAGCAGAAGGAATCTGGGTGTGTACCAGACGGATCTAAAGATGAAAGTCTGAGTTTTCTGTCCTAGCCTCAGAATGAATCTCAGAGCAGAAGTAGGACACCAGTGCTTTTCTGTAGGAGAGGGTTCTGCTGGTCGCAGGTGCTTTGGTGTCTGAGACTCCAGAGAAGGGCACCTATCCCTGAGAGTCGTGACAGGCAGCCCTCGGACTAAAACCGTGCCGTCCGTTTGTCCGATACGTGGCTGCAAATACACTGGAGTCAGGCGAATGAACACTCTGTCCAGAAAGCAGCCCTTTCCCGGCGCCCAGCTGCTTGGAAAACCAAGGCACTGCAGCTGGCGCACATCTGTGCCCTGAGCCTTGCGGAGCCTCAGAGCAGCCAGCAAGGCGCCAGCGCCAACTAGTGGGCGGTTCCCGTCACTGCTTCAGCCCTGCTTCAGCACGGGAGACCCTTCGCCGGCCACCTCAGGCTGCTTACTGAAGCCAACACTTCCCAACTCCCGTTTCTGGTGCCCACAGGGAGCGGGCGCCATCCAAGGGTTGTAGCTGAGTCCAGATCCGGGGTCAGACGCCCCCACCCCCAGCCTCATTCTCTGGAAACCTGTTTGTTAACTCTCTGTAGGGACAGACAAGGAAGTCAGGCGAAGGGGCTAGTAAATGAGGCAGATGCAAACTGGAAATCGAATTTACACACCATTGAGGAAGCAGGTCACGGCCCACAGTCAAGGGTATAGTAGGTGGCTCTTCGAGGGTCTGGGTCCTACCTGGTGGCAAGCAGTGGTCCCTTTCCAGTGGAGCTCCTTGAGGGCACACATTAGCTTAGCCAGGCTCACAGGATTTCCTCTGGTCCTGAGGCTGTTGCTGGAGCTTCGGAAGGCGCAAGGACCTTGGCCTAGTGATGGGCAACTCTGTCACCGGTTCTCTAAAATGTCCAATAAAGGACCTTCACACCTCCTCGCTTCCTTGATAGCCTGGGGCCCTGACTTGAGGTCAAGAGTGGAGCGCAGGACAATCCTCCTGGCATTCCACGAATTCGGGACAGAGCTCATGCCCACTGTCGTGCGCCTACGGCCTGATTTCGTGTTTTTTGTTTGTTTGTTTTTTTGTTTTGTTTTGTTTTGTTTTGACAAAATGGAGTGTGCTAGGCTGAGGTCAGGTACAGGATGAAATCTTGATGCTGCCGTCGGATCCTAGGTAGTATAGCTCTTGGGGCTTGGAATTGGTCGTTATAGTTGCATTCACTGCCGCTGGCAACGAAAACGCAGTCGAATTTCCAAAGCATTGAGAGAAATGCGGGCATTCGTTCCTGCAGTCCAGGAAGTGTACCTGGGGGGGGGGGGATCCCGAGTGACTCTCCTCCCCTCTGTAGTCCTTTAGTTGTGCGCTTGTGCACCCATGCGGGGCCTAGGAGACGGGAGAGGGGAAACTTGCGGGCAGAGAAACCCAGGAGCGGCTGGGCCACCAGCATGAGTAACCGTGGAGACCCCAGGACCGATTTCCCACAGCGCCCCTGACAGTGCTGTGGATCACAGAGCGCTAGGGTCACGAAGACGTTGGCTCTGCCCCAGGAGGATCCCTTTCCATCCACCGGGAGAAAGCAGTCAGCTTCTCTCCAGGCCACTGACAGCTTTCTTCCTGCCACAGATCCGTGTCCCTTTCCACAACACGGGAAGGAGGTTGCATGCTTTGGGGTAGGGGGTGGGGGTGACACCAAGAAGCACACGTGTTGCAGGCCCTACTGTATTTTTCAAAGAGCCACCGGCCGCCAGGACCTAGAACGATTCCACGAGGCCTATACGATCCTGAAACTAGTTTTTATTGGACAGTATGGTTGACCCCAACCCACTGCTGATCCGTGTGGGAACCCCCATTCTGTCTGCTTGGAAAGTTGACACAGAGGCCACAGAGGGCCAAGGCCGCGCGGAGCTGGAGAACGAGGAATCCCGCGTGGGGAGAAGGCTTCTAGGGTCAAAATCGTTTGTTGGGCGGAGGGAGTGAGGAACCAGCCTTGGGTGTCACCGCAGCGACCAGCTGAGGATGCAGGTTCCGGGCTGCGGTGGCCAGAGCTGGAGCGGCCAGACTGCGACCCGAGGGAGGGGCACGTAGGCTCAGCCAACACGCTGGAAACCGATTTCTGCCCCAATTGCAGCGGTTGCTCCCGACTCCCGGGGACCGCGGCTCCGGCGCGGCTGCTGGGACGCGGGTGTCTAGACCCTTCTGGGCGGGGCCTGGCCCCTGCTAGGCCGGCGCGGGCCCGAGCCTCCCGGTCCTCCCCGGCGAACCCCGAGCTTGGGGGCTGCGATTGGCTGCGCCCCGCGTCGCTCGCGCGGCCCCGCCCCGCCGCCCCGGGTACTAACCCCGCGCGGGCGGCCGCGGCGCAGCCACTTGATTCTCCAGGATCTGGGCTGGGGCCGCGGCCGCGGAGTCCGTGGGGCGGCCGCGCGCGCGGGATGCGGGACTAGCGGGCGCGCGGCCGACCGTCGGGGCGTCCCCCCGGCGCCGCCCCCCGCGCTGGCTGGGCCCCGCGCCGCCGCCTTCCCGCCTCCTGCTTCCCGCGGCTGCGGCCGCCCGCGCCCTGACGGCTGCGGTATGCGTATTCCCGTAGACCCGAGCACCAGCCGCCGCTTCACTCCCCCCTCCACGGCCTTCCCCTGCGGCGGCGGCAAGATGGGCGAGAATAGCGGCGCGCTGAGCGCGCAGGCTGCCGCGGGCCCCGGCGGCCGCACCCGGCCCGAGGTGCGCTCGATGGTGGACGTGCTGGCCGACCACGCGGGAGAGCTCGTGCGCACCGACAGCCCCAACTTCCTCTGCTCCGTGCTGCCCTCGCACTGGCGCTGCAATAAGACCCTGCCGGTCGCCTTCAAGGTGAGTGCAGGGGGCCGGGCCGGGAGAGCGTACAAGAACCTGGGCGCCCCCATTGCGGGAGCCCAGGCCCGGGAGGACGTGGGGAGCATCAGGCTGGGAGGACACGGAGGGAGATGACACCTAGCTGGCAGGACACAAGGGTGCCCGGGCGCCCCTGCTGCAGGACCCGGAAGGACCCCACTGGACCCCAGACGACCCCGCTATAGAGGACATGGGGAACACCGGATTGGGATAGGACACAGGGGTTCTTGGTCACTCACGCTGCAGGAGCCCAGGTCAGAAATGACATAGGGGGAACCTGGGTGTCCCCTCTGCAAGAGTCTAGGTCCAGAAAAATATGGTGTGCTCAGTCAGGGGAGATATGGGAGGGCGGCCAGGAGAACTGGGCCGGTGAGTCCTCCTGCCGCCCCCACTGCAGGAGCCAGTACCAGGGACCCCGCGTTGAGATCGGTGCACCATGGCCTCTCGGCCTCGCTGCCCACGGACTTGGGGCGCTCCCTCTCGGATGCGCCGACAGCTTGGAGGGGCCATACCTCTCCACCTGGCCTTGACAGTGCGCTGGAAACGGGAGAATTGGGGCTTCCAGATTCCTCTGGTACAGCCTAACCCGTAGCCGGGAAGAGGATCGCCAGAGCTGGGCGAGGAACCGGGAGGTATGGGGTGCAGAGGGCTAGGAGGGCCTGGCCTACCCCGCGGCGCTGCGCCTCCTGCACTGCTGTAGAAACACTTCCTTCTCACACTCTTCACCTCGGGCGGCTGAAATGTTGCACTGGGCAACCATAGGCCAGTCCTGGAGCGCGGTTCCCCAAAGGGCCGCTTCCCGCAAAAGTCTGCATCGAATGACAGGCTAACACTTGGGCAATGCTTCCATCCTGGTAGCCCCAAGTCGTTCAGAGAGGTTTTTTGTTTTTTGTTTTTGTTTTTTTTTTTGTTTGTTTGTTTTTTTTTCTTTTTCAACTATGCCAGGGATAAGCAAGTGTTTCGTTTTCTTCTCTTCCTTCCTTCCTTTCTTTCTTTCTTTCTTTCTTTCTTTCTTTCTTTCTTTTTTCTTTTTTTTTAAAGGGGGCAGTCAGATGAAACGAAAACGACTTGGTTTTCCCCTAAACCTCTTGCAGCTGCCGCGAGAAAGGGCAGGGCAGGAAGGGCCAGCGGCTGGGGAGGTGGTGGTGCCCGAGGTGGCTGGAAACGCCGGTTGCTGGCAGCTGAGGCCCTCCTTGCTCCCATTAAGACTTCAAATTGGAAAAAAAAAAAAAAAAAAGACTAGTGACTCTTTGAGGTCTCCCGGGTGACATCTTAAAATACCAGCGGGGGAAATCTCCAGGGGAGGGGGGGGGAGGGAGGCCGTGTGACTGTAATCGTCAGATCGGAGGTTTTACTGTCACTTGGAGCTTAAAAGGAATCTTTGAAATTAAAAGAAGACAGGATGTTGACAGGAAATCTGGCCTTTTTAATCAGACCCCAAACATTTTCTCCTTGAAATCTTTACCATCTGGACCCCCAGTCCCTGCACACGGCAGCCACGTTTAAATGGCTGTGACTCTGTTTAAAGTCTGGTTCAAAAGGCATCGGCCTCTTGGTTTGCCTTGGGTGGGGAGGAGGGGGTAAAAGATGACATTTAAGGGGATAACGCCACCCACCCAGCAGGTACATGCTTAGTTATCAAAATGGGGGTTTTTCTGGATCAGCTTGCAAAACATCAGTTTTGTTTTGCATTTTGCATTTTCTCTGCATAACGAATCCAGACTCGGATGAGGCTATTTAACTGGGCTTTGGCCACATGGCTGGGCCAAATTTCATGCCCCAAAGGGCAATGCATTAACTGCAAGGCGTACCCCTGTTATTATCATTGCTGGTTCTTTTGCAAGGAGCGTGTAGTGTTCTTTAGCGCCCCACCCTTAGCAGTGACCTTGCTGATTGACAGCTCTGGCTTAGACTTGACGTATTTTTAAAGGGATGGTTTCTTGGGACCCAGGATTTAGGTTTGGAGGGTAGAGAGTCCATCATTTGGGTCTTGTGTTGGAAGCCTCTTCCACCCCAGCCTGTGAGAAATCTTCAGTGAGCCTGGAACCTAGGGAAGCAGCTGGGTGCACCCCTCCTTTTGGCCTTTCTAACCTGCCCTCTTTCCTGCCGGTTTCTCAGGTGGTGGCACTGGGGGACGTGCCTGATGGAACGGTGGTGACAGTGATGGCCGGCAATGATGAGAATTACTCGGCTGAGCTGCGCAATGCTTCCGCTGTCATGAAGAACCAAGTGGCCAGGTTCAATGACCTCCGCTTTGTGGGCCGCAGTGGGAGAGGTGAGCAGGGACAACCCTGGGATGGCAGAGGTTGGGAAAGGGATTGAGGGAGGCCGCTGGGTCCGAGCCAGAGCTCTGGGAACAGGTCTGCAGGCCCAGTGCTGTCTGAATAGCAACTCTCCAACCCAAAGACATTGCACCGCCCTTTTACATGAATATATGGTCTCCTACTAGTAGAGCTTTCTCCCAGGTTCCAAGGTTTAGCAACTCCTAAAAGCCTCTAGTGCTGCTGCTGTCTTTTTCCACCAGCATCCCTGACCTCACAAAAGATGCAGGGAGAAGGTCCTGGGCATGAGCTCAAGCAGGATGTGGATGTCTTTCGATTGGGGCACACCAGCCACTCACCCCAGAGGCAGGAGGCCCCCTGTGGTCTCCTGAGAGCTCAGGGCTTCTTCGGGTACTCCCAAAGTGAGGAGAATTTAGGGTGGGATAATGAATGTTGCAAAGAGAGGTTTGAAAGCTACCATCTCAGCCTCAGGCACACGCTGGTGGCTGCCCTGTCAGTATGATCCACCCCGGTAGTGGCAAGAAGGCAGGACCAGACGCCACAGTGGCTGCCGCCAGAGGCTGTTGAGTGGGAGGCACTGGGACCCGAAACCCGTCATCATGTAACTCTGGGGTGGAGGAGCCCTCCTTGTTCCCATGCCTTGAGGATAGGAGGGTCTGTGGCTTTAAGACTAGCCTGCTGAGAAGTGGCTGAGTCTTGAAGTGGCTGTGCAGTCACCTTCTGAAGCTCTGGGAGCCCTCCAGGGTTAGGAAGTGAGCCGGCTCCCGGTGGCGGCTGCCATGGCTGGGGTAAAATGGTACTTTTCAACACCAATAAACAAGACCTTCTCAAGGTTGGAGTTCCGTGGAAGCCGCCAGCCTGCCCCACTGGGCATCTGGGCACCATTTTGCCCTCTGCAGCCGTACAGTATATACATACAAATGTCAAACATATTTTTTGACTTTTCAGCATTAATTAAAACCAGAGCGTTATTTGCATGTAATAACTGTTTACTTGTTACTTTTTATGAAACTGAAATAGTTTACATTCTTTCGAACATTTCCTGTTCCTGTTGGCTCCCTTCCCCACGCACAGATTTCTTTCAAACGTAGCTCTTAACTGGCTGCAGGTTGATGGATGGAAAATGTTTGCTTTTATGAATTAAGCTCTCGTTGCTGCTCCTAATTAGTCTCCAAGCCCCTTTTGTCATCCCCAGTCCCTGAACCTTTTGCAACTTAATCGAAGCTCTAACCCTGAGTGGAAGGTCGCTGCTACAGGGCCCAGGTGAGGGAGCGCATTATAGCCTCTGTCCCTAGAGAAGTGGGTAGAATGTGAAGTGGGTTCCATGAGCCCCACAAGTCGCTAAGCACTCTGGGCTCCCTTCTCCCTCCACACTGCTCCCTTTCTTGGGAGGTGACAGGAAAATTAAAGGGTGACGATTCTCTGATGTGCTATGACCTCTCTACATACTAAAGAGTATTTTCCCTTTTTTTGAGGCAGTCTGGCGGTGTAGTGGTCTATACTACTAGACTGGCCTGGAATTGGTTACGTAGTCCAGATGAACTCCAGGTTTTCAGCATTGCCTTGGCCTCCTGGGTGCTAGGATTGCAGGTGTGTGCCACCACACCTAGCCCACAGAGGATGTCTTAGTGAATTGTTCCACCCACAGACAAGAGCCCAGGTCCTCAAGGCCCCTCAGGGGGAGATATGTTTCCAAGGTGTCACTGGACTGCATGTTCTTGGATCTGGGTCTGGGTAATGGCCCCAGTTAAAGTATTCTGTGTTCAACCTCTCGCCGGCCTCAGTTGTTCCTGAAGGGAGGAGGAAAGCTCCTGCTTTTCTAGTCTAGGCAGCTTTTGTACTCTAGGGCAACTGACTTGGCTGGGCCTGAGTTCCAAACCAGCTAGTTTGGAATGGACTTAACCTCTCTTTGCCTCTGTTTCCTTATCTGTGAAACTAGGGGGGCTGATAACGGCACATTTTAATGAGATATGGGGTGCATTAAGAACACTGACACAAGTGTATGAGTTCTCAGGTACCGAAAGTTGGGTACATGGTAGAGATTTTGTTCTTTAAATGGTTGGCACTGACAGAGCCTTTGAGGTCCCTTTGAGCACTGCCACACTCACTGATCCTCTGATTGCAGTGTGGTTTGGCCGGGGGTGGGGGAAACCCAGAAGGTGTGCACTGTTGAGTGGGAGAGGTGTGGGTGCTGGTGTGAGGATGCAGTGCCGAGGTCCAGACCTCTGCCATGCCTGTCCCAACAATCGCGAAATTCCCTCGTGAGAACATTCCTCTCATTAACACCGAGAACCTGGACCACTTTAGGTCAGGATGGAGAACCCAAGAATCTTCCCTGGCTCTTTGATGTCTTCCAGGACTAAGAATCCTAGGTGATTTCTATGTACTTTGGCTTTTTGTAATTATATATATAAAAATTCCTGGTTGCTGTCTGAATCCCAGAAAGGTCACTGTTTCTAAAGGACAGGTGTGCCCCAGCCCCTGGCACTCTCACAAACGACACTGCAGGTGTGAACCCGGACCCAAAGGAGAGGAGTCAGAGCTGCAGCCCCTCCCTCTGTCCTGAAAGTCTTATAATCCTCACTGGGGGCGGGGCATTCAGTCCCTGAATCTCTGCCACTCAGTAGCTTCCAGGAAAAGAAAAGAAGTCATTGCTGCTGTCAGATACAGACTTTTATATGTAAATGCCTAGTGAAGCCACACCTCTTCAACATGAGCCACAGCATCCTTCACAGAAAGAAGTCCCTTGACATCAAGGTGATGAGACTCAAAGTGTAACTATGGCCTAGTTGTCAGTCCATGCCAGGACTTGCTGAAGATTGAAAAAGTCTATGTAGAGCAGTAAACAATGTTTTTTTTTTGGGGGGGGGAGGGGTGATTGTTGTCTTGTTTTGGCCTTTTTTTTTTTTTTTTAAACAGTGCTAGGTATCAAAGCCTGGCCCTAACTCATGCTAGCCAAATGATCTTACACTGAACCACATCTACAACCCCCACACAGGTAAAAACAAAACCCCATCCTCTGAAAAATTCAGTAATTATTAAAAAGAATCCCGAATTTTGCTTTCGTTTAGGTAAAACTAATTTAGGATCCTGGCTTAGGAAGGTTTTTGCAGCACATTTTTTTTTCCTTCCTAGGAAAAATTAATTCTTTATGGCCCTATACAGTGCTGGGCTTGTGTGTGCTTACATACACACACTACACTCACCTGTCCGCGTATGTGTGAATTCTAGGCTGCTTGCATCCACTTCTAGGGTTGATGCTCTCTCTGGCCCATCACCATGGCCAGTCTCCAGCTTGTCTTCTAGAAGGCAAAGTAACTGCTGGCCTGTGCCAAGATAGTCACCCAGCACCTGTCATTAACTGGCTAAGAGGCAGCAGCGGTATGTGGAGAGAGACTTAGAATGAGAGCTGTAGGTGCAGGCTGATGGGACCACTAGACAAGGGACAGTTGGTACCCTGCTGAAGCTGAGAGGCAGTGGAGCTGAGGCGGGGGTGGGGGTGGGGTCCAGGCAGCTCCTGTGGGCAGGGCTTACCCCAGTCATGCTTCCTGGCCCACTTAAGATTTCGGATGGGTGAAAGCTACACTTGCTCCAGCCAGAGCCAGCCCTCAAAGTTCCTTGACTGCAACTCCTGGCCTTGTGGCTGGCCCCATTACATGGCTGCTGACCCACCTCCTCCATCTTCCCCTCAGCTTCCAGCTCCAAAAGAGAGATGCTCATACTACACACCACCGGGGGGGGGGAGATTGGGTGCTGGGGGGCAGCTTGCCCCACCCATATTTCTCAAGGTTTCTCAAGCGCCTAGGCCCAACCCTGATGTCCTGATTCCCTTTCCTCTCTGTGGGTAGCTGAGAAGGCAAGGAGCTATTGAGGTCTGTTGGTAACCTTAGGGGTGGCATGTGGTTTGCTCCCTGGGGCAGGATGGGATGGCAGGTGTTTGGTAGGTAGGGGGTGGTTGGGCATCTGCGGCAGATTCTGGGTCCTACCTGGATACTGTGTGAGCTGGCCAACCATGGCCCTTCTGCAAGATGAATACTTAAATAGTAATTCAGTCTCTGTCACACACCCAGTGGCGTCCTGGGGGCTGGGGACAATGGGGTGACACTTCTGGCTCCTGTGAACGTAGCACCTAGGAGAGGGAGAGAAAATCAACTCAAAGATGGATTCTGAAGGGAACTTTGCAAGGAAATTTCATGAAGGTTCCAGGGCAGGGGTACCTGGGACTACAGAGGGTAGCAGCTACATTTAGGCCACGGGCTGTGGAGTCATGGTGTGTTGCCATTCTGTGGAACAGATTCCACAATAAGTTCCAGCCGAGGGTCTGGTGATGGCCATATTGTTGACTTCTCCATGAGCATTGAGGGTATTCAGAAAAATCTGTAAGGACTGTCACGTGATCTCTGGACGTCTGTGTAGCTTGTTGGTGACAAGGTCATAGGTACTGCTCATTTAAACTTCTGTGGCTTGTGGCTTGCATTCTGGCTTGAGAGAGGCTCTTCCAGTTAGGGGTTAGGGACAATACTATTGCAAATTTTCCTATCCCAGATCCCTGGCCTGCTCTTTGCTAAGAAGGGTCAACCACAGAGGCCAGATTGAAAATGTCCACTTTGTATGCTTGGTGTCTGGGGCCCTCCAAATGGGACCAGGACCTGAGGCATTCTGTGCAAACCTTCTACCACTGGGTCACATTCCCCAGGCCTCTGAAATGTCACCTTTAAATAGAGTGGTCAGGGAAAGCCCTCATTGAGAAGATGACTCTACAGAGTCAGGGGTCCTGGCAGCTGGGGCTCCAGGTATCACCCCACCCCCACCTTCACTGTGGCCCCAGAAGCAATGAGGTCAGAGAGCCAATCCTGCTTCCCCCTAGCACCCCATTGGCTCGGAGGAGGAGTCTTCTTTTAGAAATGATATTAAAATGAGAAGGCAGAGAGAGGAGTGTCCCCGAGGGGAGTGGGAAGGAGTCTGAGGCCACCTGCCCTGCATTGGCCTAGACTGTCTGCAGTTCCCTTTCCAGAAATGAAGCAAATGGCCTCTGGCCTGAAGGTAAGGGCCAAGCTGGCTTTCCTGACTAAACCTTCAAGGATGGATGCCTTAGCGTTCGCGTCCTGACCTCTGCTGCCTGCCTAGGAGACCTTTTTCCACTGAGGGATCTATTCCCCAGGGTGCTCTGACTGTACTCTCCTGAATCCCAGAAGCCCTTGAGTTCGGGGCTCAGCTGGCCAGCCTGGCTGCCTTAGCCATGCTCAGGCGTCTCCTGTTTCCGGGGCTAGGGACTAGACTTTTCCCTTGAGCAAAGAGAACATTAAGATGGTTCTGCCCTCTTGTACAGCAGGGCTGTGGAAACTGGCCCACTCCTTAGGGCACCATTAATGAGATCTGTGTCCAGCAGCCTCCTGTGGGCTACCAGGGCTACTCTGAAGAGGCACAAATGCCTGGACTTGGACTGCCCATGGGGAGTTCCCAGGCTTCTATCTCGGGTTCACAGTTAGATTCACAGAAGCAAAGCAGGTTGAGGGGAAGTCAGGCCTGAGTATCTGTGGAGTCCCACCCCTCACCCAGTCTCATCTCAAATGGTAACACTAACCTAGACCCTGGAGAAACCCTAGAGACAAAGCTCTGGACACAGACCAGTGTACAGAGTGACAGAATGACTAAGATGCAAAACAAAACAAAATCAGGCTTGCCCTTGACATCCCTCACCTTAGACCTTTCATGCCAGACAAGACAGAGCTTTCAGGGCAGAGTACCTTGCAAGTACACCTTCATCTATTTCCTGCCTGGGGAGATCTGTCTAAAACTGAGAAAGAGAACAAAGTGTGAGAAAGGGCTGAAGTTAGAAATCAGAGTGTGGCGGCCGTCACCCAGACAGCCCGTATCTGTGGACAAGCTTCAGATGGAGCAGTTGTCAAAGGTCCTTAAGCCCCAATGGGAAAGTCTTGAGAACAGGAGGTGGTGATGTGGGCCAGATTCTGGTGACGGATAGTGACCAGAGACAAAGTTTCAGTCTCAGTAATAAAAAGAAAGGCAAACAAAATCAAGAGAAATTTGAGATCTTCCATCATGATAGGCATGAACAGTGGCACTTGAGTGACGAATGAACCTCACATCACTCATGATGAGGTATGTGTCCCCAGAGAGTCGAGATCAGCCCCCACAAACTCATCCCGGGCCCCTGAAGTGACGCACTCACTCAACACTTCTTGCAACTCAAAGGGAGGAAATCAGCGATGCCAACAGAGATTTTTGACACATGAAAGATCATTTCCATTTTATTTTAAATGATAAAGAGGAAAAAAAAAAACACCAGGAAAAGTATTATTTTAAAAGATTTCCCGCACAGGAATTTTGAATGGAGATGTTGGAGCCGAAGGTCTATCTAAAAATAGAACGGGGTTCTGGAAATAACAGTACCCACGGCCCTCGGGTCGGTCCTTCTGCAGCTCTGGCTGCACACAGCAGCCAGAAATGAACAATGACATCAGGAGGTGGACCAGTCAGAGTGCAGACTTCTACCAGGGGAATATTTAGCAGCCATTAAAAATTGAAGTTTATGGAGAATTTGTAATGCTGTCACAGGGGAAGAAAACAAGACAGGGGATTGGAGAGATTTCTCAGTGGTTAGAGCACTGGCTAGTCTTGCAGCAAACCTGAGTTCAATTCCCAGCACCCACCTGATGGTTCCCAACAGTCCATAACTATGGTTCCCAGAGATCTGATGCCCTGTTCTGGCCTCTGTGGGTGCCAGATCACACACATGGTACACATACATACATACATACATACATACATACATACATACATGCATGCAAAACACTCAGACAAATAATATTTTTTAATTAAAAAAAACAAGATAGGTCCCAGCACTTGAGAGGCAGAGGCAGGAGGACCTCTGTGAGCTTGAGGCCAGTTTGCTCTATACGAAACAGCCAGAGTTACATAGAGAAACCTTGTCAAAAACAAACAAACAAACAAAAAAGAGAAAGGAGAAGGAAAACTATAGATTTTAGTACCACAGCAAATGTGTACATATGCATGCTGTACCCAAAGAGCTGGGAGAGAAAACCCCAAATGATTAACGTGGATATCTCAGCTGGCGCAGCTGGCGGTAGGGTTTCTTCTCCTCTTTAAGTATATTTTGTGTTCTTCTCCTTCTTATTTTTTTTTTAATGAAGATCACTAATTACTTTCAGGGAAAAACAAAACAAACAAACAAGAAACACCACCTATCTGCGATCTTTACCTCAAAACTGTATGGGTCCCTAAAAAAGAAAGAATATCACAAAAATGAGTCACATAGAAAAGAGAGAAGCCGAGAGGGCAGAGTGTGGTAGGACAGCTGGGGCCATACCTCCTGAGGCCTCGGATGCCTCAGCAGCTTCCCTTACCCTCTCCCTATGTCCCGAGGCTCTGGCAGCAGAGTGCAGGGGGGAGGCTGGGAGGCTGAACGTGTCTGGCATCAAACTCCTGCCTTGATTTCCCCAGGGAAGAGTTTCACGCTCACAATCACCGTGTTCACCAACCCTACTCAAGTGGCCACCTACCACCGAGCCATCAAGGTCACCGTGGATGGACCCCGGGAACCCCGACGTAAGTGCTACTGAGCCCTGGCCATGGCAAAGGGTCCAGGGGATAGGGAAGCAGGGGGCTGGGCCAGTAGCATTGGGTCCCCCTCCTGAGCCTTCATAGGCTTTCAGCTAAAGTGGCTTAGCCCCAGGCTCTGAAGGGTCAGCAAGGAGGCCAAGATAGCTGAGCCTCTCAGGCACAGCCTGGAAGAGGGATGGAACCATGGGGGGGGTGGCATTTGGGATGGGGATTAGACCAGTTTTCTCTGCACCCCAGCTGCCTCCACAGTGATGAGGGATGTAGGGGAAGAGCCACCCAGATTGGAGGTGGTCCCCTGTGCCATGAAGCCACATCTCTTTCTGAAAACCCTGTCTTCAGAGCTCAGGCAGTCTGGCTACAGGACCCACACAGACAAGAACAGGAATACAGTTCAAGTTTTCAGTATGTACTGAGTGTGCACTGTGTACTGAGTGTGCAGTGTGCATTGAGTGTGCATCAAGTGTGCATGCAGTGTGTACTGAGTGTGCAATGTGTACTGAATGTGCAGTGTGTACTGAGCACTGACGGCATTCAGGGAGTCTCAGTCCATCAGAGTCCAGGTCTGCAACAGGGTGTGGAATTAGTACACTTATTGCAGGGGATCCTCATGACATTTCAGCCAAAAGGTTTCCAGGGAGGTAATGGCCCAGGCCTGATGGCTGGGTGCTTGTGGGGACCTTGACCTATCCCAGTGGGGATATTCTCCTGCTTCAGGCTCCCACTCAGGCTGGTAGGGCTTGTGACAAGATAGGTCCTAGGACCTCTGCTTAGTGCCAAGAGACTCCAAAGAAATGGCTTGTGCTCACCTCACATTGGTGATTCCATTCAAACCTTGGAGTGGAGCTTGACTTCCCATCTAGTGCTCCAGCAGGTGCTCTTGAGAACTGGGCCAGTGGCCTTGGGGAGGTCTCTGCCTCAGGGTCACCTCCTTCCATCCCCTTAACTGTAGGTCTTGGGCAGGTCACTCCCACCCTCACGTTTCTTGCCTGAGAAATGGGTTTTCACCTGCAGTCCCTGAGCTCCATCTCTGTGACAGGGGCTGCTCTACCACCGCCACCCCACGCCTAATGGCAGCTAATGGCAATGTGGACATAGCAAATGGCTTTGGAGGATGGAAGGGCTTCCTGAGCTCCTGTGTCTGGTCCTTACCCTTGCCTTTCCACCACCACCATCAGAGGTTGTCCCACCACCCTCAGGAGCAATGGTAGCTGCTGGGAACCTCATTACAGGGGCCATAGCTCTGTACCTTGTCCCCGGAGCAGGCTCAGTATGAAGATGCAGCACTTAGGACCACAGTGGGGCTGGGAGTTAGGGGCAGGATGGAGAGATCCCAAGGGCCAGGCGATGTCTGGAGGTCCCAGGATGCCTCTGTGTTCACCTACCCAGTGCTTCCTGAGGCTGTGGAAGAGGATGTGGCTCAGCCTGCCCACCTCCCGCTTCCCCAACCCGCCACACCTTAGCTGGCCCTTTCTGGAATAAGGTGTCTGGGAGGGAGACAAAACAGGAAGAGGTCACTGAGGTCAGAAGCTGGAATTGCTGTGTGGCCTACAGCATGTGTTATCACTCTCTGGGCCATCTTACTAGCTCATTTTGCAACAGAGCAGAGGTATGGGGCCATTCTCCAGGTTACCCCATCCTTGGGTCATGCTTACTCCTGCCCATGGCCTACCTGGCCCAGAAATCAGGTCTCCAATACCTAGCCTCTAGTCTCAACATGTTTATCCTTCCTCTTTGTTGGACTCAGTTTCCCTGTGTAGACGAGGGAAGACCTCCCCACCCCCCACTCCCACACACACACACAGCTGCTGGTTGTTGAGTGACCCTTTATGCACGGGGCCTTGTGTAGTCTTTCCATGAGCTGACCCTCATCAATGTCCCCCACCCTGGGGAGGTAGTGCCACTGCCTAAGGTGTCCAAGTGGATCTCCTGGAGGCACAGGCTAAGTGTGGGAGGGATTTAGGGGGATTGTGTGATTCCTGACTTTTCACTGTTGACCACAGGAAGTGTCACAACTCTCTGAGACCTGACCAGCCTCCTGGCTTTCAGATTTCTGTACTTTCCTCCTACTCCCCTCCCGGACCCCTGGACCTCCTTGAGGTCAGAGCCTCTGTGGGTGGGTAGGGCTGGCCCAGAGTTCGAGAGCAGGAGTCTACATCCCTGAGGCCCAGCTGTGGTTTCTGTGGCCAGGTCGTTCCCCTCTGGTGCCTTGCAGAGCGTGCCCAGCCTGCAGCCGGGTGGCCAGCTGAGGCTGAGGCTGGCTCAGTGGCTTCCTGCCTGTGTGGCCTCGGTTTCTGATACATCCCTCCCAGTCACTGGGGACTGGTTCAAATGCAGGTTGCTGAGCTGGATTCGGCATTGGGATGAGAGGTGACGCAGGGCCTGACCACACTGGCAGTGACCACAGTTTGGGAACAACTAGCCCCACCCTCCAAGTTCAGCAGGTGCTGGGGTACCTACCATGTGGGGTCCAGCTTCCTCACCCTTCCAGAAGCTGAGGGCATGGCCTGGAAGCTTCTACTCCCCTAAATGCACACAAAGCAATTTCTACAAATAGTTTCTCAAGCACCTGGCATTCCCCCTCCCCCCTTCCCCCCCCCCCCCGCACTATTTAATGTGCAAGGGACTCCACCCTAAACCCCACCAGCTGGTTCCAGAGGAGAGAAGGGGAAACAGGTTTTATAGTGACCATGGCCATGCCAAATCTGGTGACTCCTCCTTCCTCCCTTGTACCCTCTTTCCCAACTCACCCCACTCCAGCTGCTGGCCTCTGCCAGGCATGCTCCTGCCTCAGGGCCAAAGTTATGCATCCACACTAGTCTGCTTGTCCCACCACACCAGGGTTCTTTTCTTTTGCTAGTCAACGACTTGCTCCGGAGGATGCCCATGCGGGCATTTAGTTGCTATGTCTTAAATAGGTCAGGAATAAGCTAAGTAAGTAATGTGTTCTTTTCAGCAGAGTGAGGAGGAAGCTGGAGTGGGTAGAGGGGAGGCAGTTGGTGCAGGGGATCCTGGTGAGGTTCAGGTCTGAAGGACATGGATCAGTAGCAGTGTGGCCTCTTGGGACCTGGCACTGGCAGGAAAAATGACCCAGTGCCTTGGAGAAAACTGAACTGTGGTGTTATCCTGGACTCCAGGGGAAGCTGAGAGAGGGTCTAGAGAGACAGCCGCACCTAGTCATTCAGCACCCCAGAGCCTAGGAGCACCCCACTAAGGTCTGGCAGATCCAGGAGAACCCACCCAGTGGAAGAGAAAGGGTTAACCTCAGACCTCCCAGCTCCCCTAATCAGGCCCAGGCCTGGAAGCCCCAGTTGCAGCCCTGGGCGGGAGCTACCTCCCTGCCACTGGCCCTCTGCCAGCCCCAGCCGGCTTCCTTGCCCAGCCACCACTGGTTTTCATCTACTCACAGGGGGCCAATTCACAGCAGACCACCCCAGGCCCGGCACCCGCCTGCCATCCGAGCGAGCGGCTGATCCGGGTCCGGTGTAAATCTCCCCACAGCCCGCAGAGCAAGCGCGGCAGCAGGCGCACAGTGGCTGCTGTGTGTGGGTTGCTGAGTAGCAGGCTGCAGGGTGGCTGCGGGAAGCGCTGAGCCAGTCCCCGGCCTGGCGGCTGGGGCTCACCTTGTTCCCAGGGCCCTGCCCGACTTCGCCTCTCCCTGCATCCCACCTCCTGCCTCACGGAGGCCAGACATGGAGTTGGCCTCTTGCCAACCAGAGCCTAGCTCTCCTGTTGGAGGAACTCTGTGGGCTAAGCAGCTCATTCCAGGTTTTAGTATCACCTTGTGACCTTGGCCTGGTGCCTTCTCCTTTCCATCTGTGTAACTGGGGGGTAGGGGCGGCAAGAGAGCCTCACTGAGGACTGTGGCCAGGAAGATGTCTGTGTGGTCCACCAGGCATAGGAATCTGCCTCCTGCTCCACCTGCATATGCACCAGGAATCTGGCAGGTGGAGGAACCCATGCTGGCCTGGTTGGGGACAGTAAGGGAGTCCCAGCTAGACTACATAGTGTGTCCCTGGGGAGTCTCCCAGTCCAGTGGCTTTGACCTGTGCCACTTGCCTGTGAGTTCAGCTAATGGCTTAGCTCTGTTGCACGGGAGCTGTTGACCCAGGAGTGGGAGGCAGGTCAAAGCAGGGCTGACACCTACCCTGAAGGTCAGAGCCTGTAGGCTGTGTAGTTCTCAAACCTGACTTCACCCTAAGGGTGCAGGGAAAGCTGTAAGCTTTTGTCCCCATTTTACAGAAGAAACAATGGAGGCCCAGTGAGAGCTAGCAAGCTTTCCCAGAGCCACCACGGGATGATGGCTACCTGCAGTGGGCCTGGGGCTGCTGGCCCTGGAATGGACTAGCCCTTCCACAGGCAGGGTCCTGGGCACTCACTGTGATCAAAGGCAGGCAGTACAAGTAAGACCAGACAAGTCAGGGGCCCTTCCCCAGATGCCCTGTGCCCATGAGGGCCCTCCCTGTACCAAGCCCATCTCCCCATCCCTGGGGCAGGATGACAACCACTTCACATATATGGAAACTGAGGCCCAGAGAAAAGCAACTTGGGCTACAGTAGTTGTGTGACTGGAACTCAATCTTGAGTGTGGAAGCAAGGCAGAACCCTTCAGGGCTCCACTGAGACCCTGAGTCCTTGTTAGGGTTTCTGTTGCTGTGATAAAACATCACCACCACAAGCAACTTGGGGAGGAAAGGTTTTGTTTTACAGCTCTGTTATGAGGGAAGTCAGGGCAGGAGCCCAGAGGCAGGAGCTGATGGAGGAGTGTGCTGCTTCCCGGCTTGTCCCTCAGTGACAGAATGTGACTTGAGAGTTGTAAGGTGACATAAATCCTTTCCTTCCCAAGTTGCTTTTGGTCATGGTGTTTTATCTCAGAGATAGAAAAGTAACTAAAATGTCCCATCATATCCCTCTACCCACACTCCTCCCCATAGAGTGTATCCTGGGCTGGGCCCTAACACCAAGTCACACCTTGTTTCACAGCCAGGCCCCTTCCTGAGGTGGGCTGTGGGGAGAGGAGCTGGCCAGTTGTCTCCTATGAGCTGTCAGCCTGCCAGTGGCTCTTCCCAGCCCTGCCGTTTCCTATCTGTACAGTGGGAGCATATCATCAGTTCTCCCTCATGAGGCCACAAGGGCCAGCAGCTGATGTGCTTCCTAAGACTGCCCTGCATTCAGGACAGAGGGTGAGAGATAGAGAGAGGGGCCAGGCCAGGAACAGCAGAGGGCCAGAGCTGTCTGGAGCTGCCTGGTCTCTTTCCATTGGGGGCTGGAGTGCTAACTTCTTGTGATTTTAAGCCAGTGACTCTCCAAGGGAGGGGACCCAGGTGAGCAGACTGTGCAGTGGGTGTCTAAGGGGGAGACTGAGGCACCAAATGCAGAAGGGTAAGACCCCTGGTGGCTGAAGGAACCAGACAGCTCCACACACTCACTGTGGGAAAAGGAATAAAAGGCTTTTTTCTGTGGCCCTCCTCCCCGGGCACAGGCCAGGCGCTTCTGTTCAGTTCTGCTCCCAGCATGCGGGCCTCAGCCTCGTGGCTCTGAGACTTTCTGGCGCCCTGGCCACGTGGGGTCAGCGCGCTCCCCTCTGCCTCTCCCTGGCACTGGCTCCAGTACTGCATAGCCACAGGAAGCGGTCCCTCCTCTTCCAGGGAGCCTGCCCTGGGCAAGCCACTGGGTCCCAGCTGGCTGTGAAACCTGTGTCCCCACTGACCAGCGGGAACCCCAAGAGGAAACAGTACAGAAGGGACACTGGGCCTGGAGTCAGGCTGTCTTCCTGGTCCCCACCCTTCTGTGTCATCTGCCTTCCCTGTGGTCATTGTGATGGGGACACTGTAGCCCGAGGTGGAGGGAAGTGTGATGAGTTAGACCCATGCCATGCCTGTTAGGATCCATCCTTGAACCCAAACTGTCCTCAAGGCCTGCTCTCCTTCTGCTGGCCACAGGAACAGCTATAAACACAGTACACTGACTCAGAACCAGGGGACTTTGCTCATCAGTGACAACAGTGGCAGGCCTGAGGTTTTGCACCAGCATTTGTGTAGCCCCATTGGCTGCCTTGGAGATTGTGGTTGACTGAGACACCCATTTCCTTGCACCTAAACTGCCATCTGGTCAACCCGCAAACTCCGATCTATCCGGTGGGCTTCCTGCCTGTTGAGATGGCTTGGAATTCATTGTCCCCGGCTCATCCACACATCCCTGACATCTCCAGGAGCCTCTGAGCTGGGCCTTGGCTCTTCTACTGAGCCAGAAATCACATCAGGGCACCATGAAACCAGCCAGTCGACCTCAGCAAAGCACACATATTCTATCCAGTCCCCAGCCACGTGCCTGTCTCATCACAGACTTGTCCAGGCTCTAGGCCTTGGAGTCTGCAGCACCAGCTCCAAGGTGCCCCAGGCCACTCTCTCCCCTTCATTTCCTAGAGCCCTGGGGTTGAGATAGCTGCTGCCAAGCATACCACTGGTCTTGGCTGGGGCCTTATGAGAAGGCAGCAGGGTTCCCTGGCTGCCAGCAACCTGCTGAAGGACACCTTCCAGGACCCCCTGTTCAGTGTCTGAGGCTCTCCCAAGTCCAGCTGGACCTGTGGCAGACATGTGTGGGAGCTCTGAGACCATGAGACCCAGAACCTTTATGCTTCCCTTTCAAAGTCAGAAATCAGGTCCTTTCCACAGCTTCCTTAGGTCCCCTCACCCCAGTGCTGGTCATTGGCCATGCTTTTCAGGCCGTAGGACAACTTGTGCAGCCTCAGGCAGAACAATGAAGACTCTGTTGTAGTACTCACCTTTCTGTCAATCTAGAAAAGTCCATGTCACCCCAGACCCAAAGACTCAGGCAAACTTCTAATGCTGAACACCCTTCTTACACTTTCCAGCATGTTCAGGTTTAGGAAACCCCACCATCTTGACATGCTGCATGACCTCAGACAAGCCTCCATACCTCTCCCATCCATAGTCCCCACTTATACAGAGAAAGCCTGGGAGGCAGGATGAGCTAGTGGTTAGACAGAAGGCCAAGATGCCTGACAGGAGATGTGGGCTTGTATGGGGCCAACAAGAGACATTCAGACTCAACTGTCTGTCAAGGAAAGGGGGCAACTGCACCTCCAGGGGATGTGACAAACAAAGTCAAGGGACATCCAGTGATGTGGCTCCTCCTGTCACACTCATGAGCTCTCTAGGGTGGCAGGGAGGGCATTTCAGAGAGACTGGTTACTGTCCCCACATCATAGGTGAGGAAAGTGAGCTCCTAGGAGTGTCACTACAAGAGAAAGTGACAGAATAACACACCCAGGCTGAGACCATTCTAGAAAGTTTCATGAATGGGCTCTTCCTCTGTTTTTCCATAAACTCCAAGAGAGGCTGGGAAGGGAAACTTCAGAGTTGGTGAGGACAGGCACTTGCTGACGAGGGGCCTCGGTGACCAGAGCTCACTTATTCTTAAGAACTCGGAGTGTTGTTTGAGAAATGAAAGATGGGCGGTTGAAGAGTGTGTGTGGCACTTAGCGTCACCCCTAAGTGTCCCTCAGCCATTAGTGGGTGCACAGCTAGCCTTGAGTTCCTGTGTGGGCTGTGGCTGTGCAGAGTGGTAGAGAGGACTGGCGGTCTCCTAATGTGACACCTCCACCAGGTACACTGGTCCCTTGGCCTTTTGTCTAGGCAGGGACTGGAAGCCTGTATGTAAAGCCTTTTTTTTTTTTTTTTTTTTTTTGTCTGAGACAGGGTTTCTCTGTGCCTTTGGAGCCTGTCCTGGAACTCACTCTGTAGACCAGGCTGGCGTTGAGCTCACAGACATCCTCCTCCCTCTGCCTCTGCTGGGATTAAAGGCGTGAGCCACCAATGCCCAGCTACTGTGTGTATATTCTTGATCATGCCTCTGCCCTCCGTCCTGAGGCTCTGAGGGGAAACAGGTTTGAGGGTGGCTAGGTTGGACAGGGCCAGGGGGCCAGTACTCCCTTCCACAACCTCATGCCCTCACAAGGATGCAGAGTGTGGGGATCTGCATGAAGGGTGGGGGTGACGGTAGAATCACCCCTGGGGCTCCTCCTGACTCCTTGGCAATCTGCCTGCCTGAACTATTCTTCTAGGGCTGTTGTCTCAGTATTCTTTTCTGTCAGACCATGTTGGGGAGGTTTAGGTAATTTGGACCTTAACATCACAGCATGCTGGCTCAGTCAGAGCTCCCAGAGTAATGTGAGAACAAACATTCTGAAAAGAGTCCGAGCAGCCTGAGGTGGCGCATAGCCACCATCTCTGTTTCGTTCAGAAAATCAGAGAGTTCCAAATAGACACCAGGAAGAACTTCCCAGGGCAAGGCATTGCAGTGGCTGATGGGTTCCTCGTGCTCCACAGGGCATCGGCAGAAGATAGAAGACCAGACCAAGGCCTTCCCCGACCGCTTTGGAGACCTGCGCATGCGTGTAACACCAAGCACCCCTAGCCCCCGCGGCTCACTCAGCACCACAAGCCATTTCAGCAGCCAAGCCCAGACCCCAATCCAAGGTATGGAAGAACAGATGCCTATGGGGATTAGGCAGGGGTGTGCATAAGGAGCCAGGATGTGGTCCACTTACTCTAGGACAAGTCCTCAGGGAAGATGGCTCCGCCATGGTTACTTGGTGGACAGCTGGGGCAGGTTGCAGTCTACACTACCAGGTCAACTCATGCACAGTGCCTGACCCTGGGATAAGCATGAACAGATGTGGTCATACCTCCCTCTGAAGCTCTAGGGACATGAGCGTGATCCTGTGGTGTGCATAGAGCAGTGGCCACCATGCCCCCACTTTGCACACACTCCTACTACCTCCGCCTTCTCATGGTGGTGGTGGTGGGGATACAGTAAGGATATCTCTTTCGTTTTCTTTCTTGAGACGGGGCTTCTTTGTACAGCCCTGGCTGTCCTAGAACTAGCCCTGTAGACCAGGCTGGCCTCTAACTCACAGAGACCCACCTGTCTCGGCCTCCTCAGTCCTGGGACTAACGACTTGCACCACCACCACCCAGCAGGTTGGGGCTATCTTCCTGGGTCTGGTTGCTATTCGCACCTGAAGCTGTGACATGGGGTGTCAGCACCACCTAGCCCAGTCCCTCCACCCACAGCCACATGAATAGAGAGCACTAGGGTTGGACTGCACCCCCACTGCTAGATGAGGCAGCTACACTGCAAGCAGATCTCCCTGCGGCCTGTTAGCCTCAGCACGTACCCGGCCAGCCCCTGCAGGCATTGTACTTCTGCTAAGAGTCAGAGACAGGAGGCTAGCCGTAGCTGGCTCAGGCCAGGCAGGAGAAGATGCCAAGCCACAGAGGCCAGAGGGCTAGCTGCTGCCCTGTGGTACTTGTCCCTTCAGCTCACCAGGGCTGGCTCGGGGTCTGTGTGGCAGATAAGCGAATTGAAGCTGAAGAGGGTTGGTGCCACTCTTGGATCACATAGCCTTCTGGTGACTGAGTCTAATGTCTCCTTGGGCCTGTCCCGAAGTGAGGACTTCTGAGGGCCTGAGAAAGGACTGACCGTTAGGGCCAGTAGGGCCAGAGCGGGCCGAACGCTGGCACGTCTTTGCCCTACTTTCTACCCTTCTCACGCTGGTCTTCCCATGACGATGTATTGCCAGGGATATTAACCATGTGCTCTAGGCATGACACAGTGTAGGGTGTGGCACCATCTCTTTGTGTGCCAGGAAGCTGGCCCAAGGTCAGGAAAGGCCCTACCTGCAGTTTATTTGAGCCCATGGGCTTGTGAGTTTGAGATTCGGCTCTTGAGCCCTGGGCCCTTGAGATTCATTTCTGGCCTCAGTGCCCTGCATCTACCTCATGCCCAGCCCTGTCCAGGAGTTTGTCCTTTCCCCAAGCCCACAGGCCAGCACCTACAGCTCCTGGCCTAAAAGGGATGGAGTCTAACCAGGGACACCACAGAGTGCTTCCTGTCCACCAGTTCCCATGAGAGAGGTACACAGTTGTCCTGCCACAGTGAGAGGGTGTGGTCTTTGGACTCTGTGCTCCCAGGATCCAGACTCAGCCTCCCCACAGCCCTGGGCCTTATCTAGTCAGTGTGGCATGGATGGCTAGTCCTTCTCTTACTGCATCCTGATATAGGACTCTAGTCCCTTGTTAGCTCCAAGGGGCCCTTTGGTGTTTAGGAGAGGGTCTTGGATACCCACCTCAGGGAAAAACATGTATTTTGCTAAAGGGTCAACCTGACCAGTTTTAGCTCTGCCTTACTTTGGCTGTGTGATCTTAGGAAAGTCACCTAACTTCTCTGAGCCTTGGGTTGCCTCACCCATAAAGTGAAAAGAGGTTCCCACACCAGAGTGGCTTTGGTAGGCTCAGATTTGAAGAGATACAGCACCCTCTGGCCCCAAAGTCTCCCCCCAGGGTGCCTCAACGCTTCCCTTGGTGTCTGTTAATAGCTTTGACCCCTAACTTCGTCACCGTAGGCAATGCCAGGACCAGGGGGTGGGGCTTGCTGCAGACACCCACAATGGGGGCTTCTCACAGCTCAAAGGGCCCATTCATCTGCACGCAGCAGCTGGGGCAATTTGGAGAAAATAAACATTTCCTCCTGCTGCTGGGTTGGCTGCTTGACAGTGGCCCCTGGCAGCTCAGATTTCCTAGGGCTGTGAGGCTGAGGAAGCTGCTGAGGGTCTGAGGGGTGCCTAGGGCAAGCACTCCCCCACCACTCTGGAGGAGAGAGGGCGGAGGGGACAGTGGCAGGGGCCACAGTCCCACTGTCCAATCACAAGTCTTGTTTGGCTTGCTTTGAGGACAGGGTCCCCTGATATCGGGCATCAGTGTGCAGTGTCTTCTCATCTTGCTGGTACTGCAGCATCTTCTCCGTAGGACTCCTGCACGTAGATGGGCATCAGGCACCTCACCCCCCGCCCAGACCTCAAGACAGACTGACTAGCCAGGGAGTCCCCAGTTTTCATTTCAGAAAGCTCCAGCTTACTGACCCTTGTCCAGGCTCCTCACCTGGAGCCAGGGACAGCCCTCTGTGGTGATCCATAGCCAAGACGAGAGATGCTGATGCATACCCCAGAGACCCAAGTGTACCAGATACCTGAGGTCACCTGACACCTTGGACAGAGCCCAGGAAGCAGGAGGCCTGAGCTCTGCATCCCCAAGCACAACTGGTCATGGCCAGAGGGCCCACCCAGAGTGAACACCACCCCTACTGGCCTGGAGATAGGGCCTCCCCTGGTCTTTCATCCGTGATGAAGGAGACAATGAGCCTCATGAGGCTTGGCAGTGCTGCACCACCACTCAGCACTGTCCTCTGCCCACTGCCGCCAGGGTATGAAGAGGGAGGGCCCCAGGTCAGGGTTTCATCTTATCAGGGTCTCAAACCAGCCACCTCTGGGTACCCTGAGCAAGAGGTATGGCTGTGGCCTCAACAAGACAGAGAGAACGAGCACCACAGACTGCCAGACCTGGTTCAGTTCTCAGCGTTTTAAGTATATTAGCAAATTTGATTCAGGTCCTCAGGAAATGGATGCACAGAGAGGTTAAGTGATTCGACAAAGGACACATGGGATGAGAGGCAAAGCCAGGCAGATTGAATGGTTCTGGAGGCCCCATGGAAAGTCCTGCTGCCTCCACAAAGAGGCAGTGCCTATCAGGCCAGTGTTGAGGCTCAGGACAGTGTGCTCTGGACCCTCTTGCCTCTTCCTTGCTGGGTCCCTGTTTTCCCACCAAAGGGGTTTGGTTTGTTCCCAAAGCCCATGTGAATGCTGGGTTTGGGGGAGGGAAGCTGTGATTATAATAGCAGGTATGCAGGTTGTCCCCTCCCAGCCAGGACCCCAATCTACCTACAGCAGGTATGCTCACCCAGAGGGCATGGGGATGCCTGTGTGCCGCTGCGTTGCCTCTCTTAGCCCATGGCTGCTCCTAAGATCAGAGGTGATGGTCTATCTCACTGTCCTGCTGAGAACTGTCCTGACCTTCATCTGATGCCTTGACCTCCTTAACAGGGCAGTTTATAGACAGGATCTCTCTCTCTCTCTCTCTCTCTCTCTCTCTCTCTCTCTCTCTCTCTCTCTCACACACACACACACACACACACACACACACACATAGACACACACACACAGACACACACACACACACACACACAGAGGCCCCAATGGAGAACAGCAGCCTTCTGGAGCATTCTAGTCTTTTCTGTCCAATTGGGGGGTGTGTGTGTGAATAACCTTTCTTTATTTCTGCCTTAGTTTTTCCTCTTCAAAGGTAAAGTCTAGCTCCCAGTCTTACTGGGCCCCTGAATACCCTATTGACACCCTTGATTAGAGTGAGCTTGTGGGAGCCCTATCTAGTGCCTGACCTAGAAGGCTGGGAAGGATACACAGGACAAATGAGGGCTGTCCCCTCTGCTTTGGCCCAGAGTTCACTCTCCCCCCCAATCCCAGTCTGCAGCAAGAGTTCCCAGGGTATGCCTTGCACAGCCCAGGCAGAGGAAGGGGTCCCCAGGAAGGTCACCCTGCAGTGACAGAGGGCCTGCGGTGGTCCTGGCCTGCACACCTGACTCCTCCCCTTGCTGCCTGCAGGCTCATCAGACCTGAACCCCTTCTCGGACCCCCGCCAGTTTGACCGCTCCTTCCCTACGCTGCAAAGCCTCACAGAGAGCCGCTTCCCAGACCCCAGGATGCACTACCCGGGCGCCATGTCTGCCGCCTTCCCCTACAGCGCCACGCCGTCGGGCACCAGCCTGGGCAGCCTGAGCGTGGCGGGCATGCCGGCCAGCAGCCGCTTCCACCACACCTACCTCCCGCCGCCCTACCCCGGGGCCCCGCAGAGCCAGAGCGGGCCCTTCCAGGCCAACCCCGCGCCCTACCACCTCTTCTACGGCGCCTCCTCCGGCTCCTACCAGTTCTCCATGGCGGCTGCGGGCGGTGGCGAGCGCTCGCCCACCCGCATGCTGACCTCCTGCCCCAGCGGCGCCTCGGTGTCCGCGGGCAACCTCATGAACCCCAGCCTGGGCCAGGCTGATGGCGTGGAGGCCGACGGCAGCCACAGCAACTCACCCACGGCCCTGAGCACGCCGGGCCGTATGGACGAGGCCGTGTGGCGGCCCTACTGAGCACCCTGGGGACTCGCAGGCCACCCGAACCCGGCTTTCCAGCTCTAGGCTACAGGAAGAAACAGACTTTGGCCTGGTCCCAGGGGCCAGAGCTGGCGATGGCTCCCAGAGCTCTGTCCAGCAACAAGTTTGAGCAGACGATGTGGGGACCTCTTCCAGGACACTGCCCCAGCCCAGACCCACCTCTGTTGTCTCCAGTCATGCCTAGGATTATCTCCTGAGTCAGAGGCTACCCCTGCACATGAGGAAGGCCTTTGTTAGCAAGAGAAGCTCAGGCTCAAAAGATGCCCAAATTCCCTCTCTCTCTCCCTGCCCCCTGGGGACCAGCCCTCCCTCAGCATCCATACTCATCAAATCAACCAGAAACCCCAACTCCTGAGATGACTTCACTGTAGAGAGGGAAGCCAGGACACACCCACACCAGTCCCAAACTTGACTTGCCCATTACCCCAGGTAAGCTGTCCTTGGCTAGTTCTAGCTTACCTGAAGACACAGGCCCCAGAGCAAACTCATCCTTGGTGGGGGGTCACTAAAGTGAGGAAGGCCTCAACACCTCCAAGCACATTCCAGCCTGAAGGGCCAACTCGGTTCTCGGCAGAAAGTCTTACCGTGGGAAGCATCCCTGCTCATGGCTCACTAGTCCCAGCCAAGCTGTGTCCCGGGCCTTACCTCCCAACTTGCAGCCCCACTTGCTACGTGTTTGTACCTAGAAGCAAAAGAAAAAGTGACTTCATCGTGCATTTTAAAACAAGGTCTGTGATAGGTGAAGTTTGTGTATATGAAAACCCCGCCTCGGCAGGCTCCTGCCACCCTCGGACCTCACAGAAGGGGACCAGGGGCTCCAGGAGGCCTTGTGGAGGCTCTGTTGAGGTGTGCAATGGCAGAACAGTGTCCAGGCAGAGGTCAAATGGGAAGGGAGGACTTGGCCTGGAGCCTGGGTCATGGGGACTGTGGGAGATTGTCAGTGGGATAGGTTTAAAAGCTTTACCAGAGCTGGCCCACAGGTGGTTTTTCAAACTGAGAGAGCCACATCCTCTGTAGCCTTGGAACTCTCCTCTAGAAGGCTCCTTAGTGATGGTCTCTGTGGTTGTGCTTGGCCTTCCCCATTGCCCACACCTGTAACAGCCACATATACACTCTGGTAGGTCAGAGGATCCTGCCAATCCTGTGCAGATACCTCCTGTTACAGTTTCTTTTGTCCCATCCTTATGGGGGGGGGGAATACCAAAACATTTTGTCTCTTGGAAGTAGCTGAGTTAGCCTTCCAGCTCCTCATCTAGGCCATCTAGGGCGGGGCCTCCTCACCTCTTCTCAGGAAGCAGCTATAGCCCATTGCCCTCCTACCTGCCTCTGCTACTGGTCCATGGTGTAGACTGGCCCATACTACCAAGGAAGACACCTTTCAGGGTCCTAGCACCTAGCACCGTGCAAGCCACCCCAGGCAACTGCCCTTCTTGATATCCAAAAGCAGCTAAAGATGGAAAATACACACACACCATTACTCCTCTTCCCCATCCTTGATTAACAGTGACAGCTGAGTCTGTTGGTCCTACAGTGAGTACAGGCAGCCTGGGCTGGTAAAAATGGGTCCTATTCTCAAGGCTACTTGAAAGTGCTACTTGGAAGCACTGGATAGAAAGAAAGCACAAGGAAGCTAAGGGGTTGATACAATGTCACTGTAAGTGTGTGTGTGTGTGGGGGGTACTGATCCTTTGTGACATTGTTACCCTGAAGTATCCTACCGGCTATGAGCAGGTCTTCCTGAAGCAGGCTCAGAGTTGAGGGGGAGGAGGGGACCTGCTTTGCACTATAGGCTGCTTGGTGTGTTTGTTTTTTATGCACAACTTGCTTGTACAGTCAACTGCCCATCTTGGGTACTATTTAACTGTAAAATGAAAATTGTATTTGTTACAATAATATAACAGATGCCTTCAAGGACCTGTGTCAGGTTTCTAGAGTTCTGAAAGTGGGTGGGACCTTCTGCCCTTGGGCAGGAGATGGGATTGTAGGGCATGGTTGAGCTGGCTCCTCCATCTAGCTCCATCACGGTGGCTGCAGAGACCTGGCCCAAGGACCTCTGGAAGGCCACCTTCCTGGCTGGGCTAGGACCCTGGAACATCAACTAGGTCTCCAAGATTACACTAACCCCTTTTCCCCTCTCTTGGCCATGTCAATCACACAGAGGCAGAAACCCCTGCACTGCCCCAAATGACACAGATACAGATTTGAGGAGGGACAGGAGGAAGGAGCAGCCAGCCACCATGATGAGGAACTCTCTGAGTGGGGTCCTTTCTGGGATGGGTGTGACAGCCCCTCAGGAGTGAGAAGCCCTCTTGGGTGAAGACCTTTCCAGAGTGAGGGACTCCCTTTGGGGAGCCCCTACAAGGTAGACTTGCTGAGACACTGGCAGCAGAAAAGACAGACTGCCAAAGCAGGCATTTGGACATGAGGTGACCGAGTAACAAAGAGAGCTGCCACAGGACCCATGGCTCCTGGTAGCTGGTAGTTGCCAAGCTGAGACCATAGGCTGAAAACGGGGGCTGTGGGTGGCGGTGTGGGGACCTAGCTTGATATTCCCTTTCTACCCACACCCAGCCTGTGTCTGACCAGATGGGACATCAGACAGATTTTCATAAGACAGACAAAGCTCTGTGGTGCCCATATAAAGTTCCAAGATCCTGCCCTGTTGTAGTATTACCCTACCTAAGATCAGTCCCCAACAGGAAGTTCCTGTTTTCTTACCCTGGGCCCTGGGCTCTGGACCCTGGACCCTTTCCTACCAAGCAGCACCTCTGCCCCACAGGATTTTGGCCACCACTACCACAGGACCTGTCCTCAGGTACACCCTGAGTTGTCACCAGCAGGACCTGTCCTTGGGTTAGAAGCAGTGTCTTCACAGCCCAGAGTCTTTTACTTGGTTTATCTGGGAGTGGACATGTAGGTAGCCCCTACAATTGAAGAACAAAACCTCCGACTTTAACTCCTGTCCCCTGCATACCACGTGTCTAAAGGAAACAGGTCAGAAGTTCTGGGCTAACTGGAGACAGGGACCTGCTGGAGGAGCTCTGCAGCCTGTGGGTGATGGCAGGAATGGCTTCCATGCAGCAGAAAGAAAGCAGCAATTGCTCCCCCCGCACCCCCCACACACACTTTGGAGGGGAATGTGGACTGATACTAGGAAGAGTTCTGCAGCCTCAGGAGAGCCACTCTTACCTTGCCTGGGTCTCCTCACCCTATAGTGGCAATGATAATAGCAGCTTCCTGTCTCTACCCTTCAGAGCCACCCTCCTGGCCACATGTTACAGATGTTGGCACAGTCACAGGCCCTGAGCTCCCAGGTCCCACCAGAAGACAGGGCCCTGGAGGGAAGAGCTGATTTCTGGGTAGGAAGGCTCTGCAGCCATGTCCAGGCTCATGCACTTTCCAGAATCAAAGGGTCTGACACTACCAGCTCAGATGAGGAGGTCAGTCTGCTGCCAGCCTGGAAGCCCTGAGGTCCTCCAGTCTCATCTGAGAGTCAGAGCCTACTGACTGCAGACTGAGAAACAACTCCCAGAGAAGACCCAGGCCTGGGATGGCTTCCTTTGACTCTTGTCCTGTCCGGATCACAGGAAAACAGGTCTGGGAGAACCAATGCTGTGTAACATGAGGACCAGACCTGACACAGACCCAGATCTGCCTCCCTTCTCACCCAGCACTCCTCCCTGCCCCAGACTGCACTCCCACAAGTGGCCAGACCCCCAGCATGGACCTGAAAAGGGATAGTTCTCCACTGGACCCCACATCCCAGCTCAGAGCACTTCAGTGGCTCTGTTCATCTCAGGGTCATAAATGAAACGAGCTGTCAGAGGAGCTGAGTGTAAGAACAACCCTCTCTGGCAGGAATCCAGACCTCCCCTGACTCCTCCCCATGGGGCTGTGCAGAATGAGGGCCCGTGTCCCCCCAATATCCGCTGCTATACCTGTGTGGTCCCAGCCAGGGGAGTCTGGGAAGCCGGATTCCAAACTTCCTATTTTTAGTTTGCGACTAAGAGTGGGCTGTTTGTTTTATATATTTATATCCACCACAGAGTGCCTGCCCCAGCCAGCCGGGAATGCAGAGGGGTGGGTGGCCTTGCTGTCAATGCCACCTCCCTGCTGTGCCTCAATTTTGAAACTGTCCAAGACTCCTCGGTGCTCTAATGGGGCAGCTGCCATTGGCCACATAACCCTTCTCTATTCCTGGGCACTGTATCTTCAAGGCTTTGGCCACAACTCACTTAGTCACTCTCCAAGTGTCATCTGTAGATGAGCAAGTCACAGTAGAGCAAAGTGCTCCTCTCAGGACAGACAGGGAGGACAGCAGATCGGAACAAGTACAAAGGCTCCTCAGAGGAGGCAGAGGAGGCATCTCTCCCCCTCGGACAAGAGGAAGGATGAGCAGAACATAGAGCAGACAAGACAGCCTTCTCCTTCCATAGAGTCCTATGTATAAAGTTGGGGATCGGCTTGGGGTAGCTGGAAAGGAGGGTAGGGAAGGGAGCTGGCCTTGATCTTGGAGCAGTAGGGAGCCAAGCTAAGGGGTGTGGGAAATAAAGTCGGAGCTACAGACAGACACTTGGGGAAGAAAGTTAGAGATTCAATTGCTGGTCTCACAGTGATCTGAGTACAAGAAGACGAAACTGTAAGCATCAGAGCAGGAAGAGCTAGACAACATCACAGACACCTCTAGCCCCGATGCCACAGGAAGGACTCCATGCCCCAACCATTGTTCAGTTTGGACAAGCTAGCGTTGTACAGTCCTAACTATCCTGGAACTCGCTACATACACCAGGCCGGCCTCGAACTCACAGAGATCTGCCTCCAGAATGCTTGGATCAAAGGAGTGTGTCGCCACATCTGGCCAGGGTGAATGGTGTTTAATGAAACCATTAAACACAGCCATAGGAGTAGTCATTGTTACCACTCAGTTAGCTCTTTGGGGATTTCCCCATCCCTGTCTCGGTTTCCTCATCATAGGCCACTGACCACTGACTGCCAAAGTCCTGTGTAGCTCAGTCTGATCCAGCCATCCACTCTCTTGTGGAGTCTGAGGATGTGGAAGTTATGAGAAGGAAGTCCCAGGTTCCTGTGTTTATGTATTACATCTTAAATACTTTTTTTTTTTTTTTTTTAAGAGATAGGGTCTCATGTAGCCCAGGCTGGCTTTGAACTCCTGATCCTCTTGCCTCTACCTCCCAAATTCTGAGATTACAAGTATGATCTACACCTGGCTAAATAATGCTTCTTAAAGTGACATTAAATAATCCTTAATCATGGAAGGAAACAAATACAAATATACAGATTCCTAAAAGGAATACAAGAAAATTTACTGATAATTTCAATGCCTCCAAAAGTAACTATTGTGAATATTTTGAGTTTTCTTTTTAGAAATAAGCATCTTTCTAGTCATTTACACTGTGCATAGTTTATCAATTTTTATTATTATTATTATTATTATTATTTTGCTTTGCTTTTGTTTCTTGTTTTCCTTTGTTTGGGTTTTTTTTTTTTTTTGCATTTTGTTGGCTTTTTGAGACTGTTTCTCTGTGTAACTATCCTGACTGTCCTAGAACTATCAATGTAGTTTTAAACTAGATAAAGAGCCAGTGATAGTGGCTCATGCATTTGGCATCAGAAGGCAGAGACAGGTAGATCTCTGTGGGTTTGTAGCCAGTTTGGTCTACATAGTGAGTTCCAGTTTCCTATACAGAGAGGCCTCAAAGAAGGAAGTCCCTCAAGGGGTTAACGCTAGCCCTAAGAGGAAACAAGACCATTCTCATTCTCCTGTGGTGTGCCTTCCATGACATAATTTTGCTATAAAAACCATCATCAGAGGAGAAAGGAGAAGTAGAAATGAGAAAACATCCTTGCTTAAAAGCAGAAGCGGGAAGGACTTGAGTCTGGGGATGGGGAGCACTTACCCAGCATGCTTGGGGCCTGGGTTCCATCCCCAGCCCTGCACAAACCAAGCTTGGGTAAGGGAGCTTGGAATTTCAGCTCTTCTCCTCAAGGTATCTGGAAATAAATCTTCACATAAGGCCCTTTGCTTTTTCCTTTTATACCCCTCAAATCCTGGGATTAAAGGCATGTAATCCCAAGTGCTGAGATCACCTTTGTGTGAGCTGTTTCTCTTTAGGACTGGATCAATTTCATGTAGCTCAGTGTGGCCTTGAACTAACAGAGATCCACCTGCTTGTCTCTTGAGTCCTGGAATTAAATGTGTGTGCCACCTCTGCCTGGCTCTGGCTAGTGAGTATGGTTGCTGGTATCAAAGGTGTGTACCACCATTGCCTGGCACTATGGCTTGTGGCTAGCTTTGCTTTCTGTACCATCAGGTAAGCTACCCACCTTTGGCTCGCAGCACTCAAGTCAGGTGGCTTATAACTACCTATAACTCTAGATCCAAGGGATGTGACACCCTCTTGTAACCTTCATGGACATTGCACACAAATGGTACACACACATTCATGCAAACATACAAATCAAAATGGCTCATTTTTTAAAAATGATATCAGTTTTCCTAACCATAGATTCAATGAAATCCCAGTCAAAATGCTAGTATGTTATTGTGGATGTTTCAAACTGATCCTGATGTCTACACAGCATTGCAAATGGCCCACAATAGCCAATGCAATATTGATAGGGAAGAGCCAAGATGGAACATACACATAGGCCGTTTAAAGTAACTTTTAACCACTCCTTTAAGATAAAAATGTTAATTCAATGATTTTTAAAGAACAGTTTTAGGTCCATAGCAAAACTGAGAGGAATATATAGAATCCCCGCCCCCAATGCATGCACGCACACACGTGCACGTGCGCGCGTGCACACACACACACACACACACACACATACACACACACACACACACAGAGCCCTTCTCCCAGTACAAACACAGCATGTCCCTTAGCTGC